CCATGAATTCTATTTTTCGCATATTAACTTCTAGACGCCATTTGTATTCCTCTATACTTAATATTATCACTTGGTCTTCGGAAAAGCACAGTTTGGTGATAAACAGCACCCCTGTGTTAATCCCTTATTGACAAGAAATCGTTCTGAAATTTTGCCTTCTATTTTTACTCTTGATGTAGTGTTGTCGTATAGCTTTTTTACGGCTTTTATCAGCTTAACACTAACGTTTGTTTTTTGTTATTTATTATTTAAGATACGCAGAAGAGGTCGGAAGTGGATCTCTCCGCTCTAAAGTCAGCTTGTTCTAGCTCTTCTATATCCTTATCTTCCTGCCCTATATTTTCTTTCAATAGTTTTCAATATATTCTACTTAAGGAACTTGTCACTAATGCGTTTAAACCTTTCTGGAATAAGTTTCTGATACAGTTTCGTTGTACCGCTTTTGATTAATTCTGCAGGAATATTTTTGAATATGTTCATTATCTCGTTAGCTTTTAATCTAATTCGGAACGCTAGACTTCGTTCTTCTATTTTGAACTTCCCTACTGCGAACTACGAGATTGGTCCTATAATATATTTTCTCTTTTCCTGTCTGAGTGATTTTAGGACTTTCCAACTTTCCATGCTTTTTTGTCCTCCAAGACAAGTATTGACTTTGTTACATCTTTTCCCCAGGACTGATTTTTCTTTTAACTCTTGTCTGGGCTTCTTTGTAAGTTGCTTGATATCGAAGACTAAAGGCTGGTTTGTTGAATTTTGACTTGAAATTGTTTGGCAGCTTCAAGAAAAGTTAAATAGAATTCTGAAAAGACATACACCAAAATTTAACATGTCTAAATGGTATCTCTTAAGCTTTAGTAGGAATATGAAAATTTTGATGTATAAAATGGAACATTCCGTTTTATTACGCCAGATCTTGGAGCAATTATAGTTTAAAGCACTTGCACATTGCATAAAGAAAAATGTATCCACAACATACTGGGCGAGAGACCGGGCCGCGAGGGGCTGGAGAGTTGCTCCGGGAATGAGGCAGGCGAGGCTTATGATGTATGGGCCCGCCCTTCCTCGGACCAGGGAGCTGCTTAGACTGACCAGAAGGGAGTGTAGAGCACTAACAGGGGCCTACACAGGACATTGCAGGCTTAGGAGGCATCTCTGCTTGCTAGGCATTGGAGACGACCCGGAGTGTAGGTGGTGTATGGAAGGGGAGGAGACCCCGTATCATCTGCTCACCGAATGCCCTGCCTTGACGTGGGCAAGATTGGGAGTCTTCGGAACGGCCCTGATCGATCCGGACTCAGTGCACGGTATTGGGCTAAAGGAGTTGCTGACCTTCTACAGGAGGGGCGCGGCATTCTGGACGCCCTCTAGTGCGGCCTGGGGGCACAACGGGCCCATCTGGTGGCCTAAGTGCTTGGACGCCCGCGAGGGCGCCCCCCTTTAATACCAATACCAATACCAATACCGTGTCTAGATCTATCTGCGAAAAATTTTACAAGACGCACTGTAATTAATCCTTTACGAGGCTTAACTTAACCTTGGTTAGTTTGTATCTTTTATGTATCTGCGTGTGTTTTATTAAGTGGTGTGCTGAGGAATCTGACTCTAAAGATTTTATTGTAGTTGTGGATTTACGATCCAAATAATTAAATAAATAAACGGCAGTTGTGTTTATTTTGAAATACGATTTGGGCTTCTCCTTATTAAGGGTACAATACGACGGTAAATCCACCAGAAATAATACTAGGTTTAAAAAAAAATCCAACTTATGTTTTTATTATTTTTGTTATTCTTTATTCGTTTGTTTAGGGTCAGAACCCAATATTATTCTGTGATGTTACCATTCAGCCAATAAAATGATTTTGATTTTTGGGATTAATTATGGTAGTTATTTCGAGCGAATATTTGCAATCCAAAATCGTCATGTAGACGCTACAACGAATATAATTTAGGACTGTCCGTTCTGTTTTCAGGACAATTGTCGATAAGTGACAGTATCATAACAAATTACTGTTTTGCGAACGCTTTCCTCTTCGGCAACCGACAACTAGTTTATTTCCGTTCGGAACGGGCGGAAATTGAAAGGAAACGCGGGAAAGCACCCGTGGAAGTTAAATGCCCGAGAATATAGAGGCTGTGAAATTCCTCCCTTATCTGTCCGAAATCCTAAAACCAAATTGCCCGGAAAAGATTTTTTTCGCAAGGAAGGAGGTTGTATTGTGAGAGGCAGGGGGGGTTGCCGATCCGTTCATAAACTAAGGGATCCGCAAAGAGCTCCCTAAAATATTTTGTTTTTTTTTTTGTAGCTTGGCTTTATAGCTTTTTCGGTTGGAAAAAAGACTCCTCCTAACGAACGAACTATAGCATTGATAAATCGAATATAATTTTATAAAAGATCTCTTTTGTTTAGGGATTTTTATTTATATTTTGTATTATATAAATTCAGTGAGACTTTCTACGAGTTTTGATATTTTGGTTAGTTTCAAACGCTTGAGAAACGTTTGAATGGTTTTAGTTAATATACCTTTTGTATTATGCACTTGTTTTATATTTATTATTTTTGTTATTAATTTACCGTTTTGATAGATTTCGTTAGTATATTTGTTGTTTAATCCAGTAATCTTGTTATTTATTATTTCTTTTCTTTGAAGTTAGAATCTGTTCCACATCTTTACTTACAAAATTATCAAGTCAGCGAGCTTTTGTTCACCTTTTTATCTTGTGTTCCTGCAAAGGATGGTTTTCTTTAGTTTAGTGCTTTCTTATCACTTTTTTTCTTTGTTATTTCTTTTGCTTTCTTTTAATAAGAATGGTTTAACTATCCACATTTTTTATTTAATTTTAGTTTCAACGACCTAGCAAACTATTCCTGGATTATTTCTAATTACCATCTATTTTTGATGTACCGTATTTTATTTTGTATTGGTATCTCGCGTATTTTAATTATTGTTTCATTAAACTTGTATTTCTTTAGTCTTCCGGCACCAACATATTATGGCATTCGCAATATTTATCTTCGAGAAATCTATTTGAGTGACACCAGATTGTAAAGGAATTAGCCTACAGTTTTATTAATAGAATTCCATTTGAAGCAATTTTGTTTCGAAACAATACGGCATGTTGTTGCATGCGTTATTTTCCCGCATCTTATCACATTTTACGTCTAAAAGACTAATAATGTCGAAGGCTTAGTTAGGGAAAAACGCTGCCTATATTTTAAAACTCCAAGCAGCCGGCTGGATGGATGCATTAGCAAAGCTCCGTGACGTTATTTTTGTTTTGGTTTTATTTCTCAGAGGGCCGTTTAGTAATTCGCTTAAATGGGGGTGGGGAAACTCGGGTCTGGAAGAGGAGAGAAAACTGTTGTGGATAATACAATCGACGCGCTTCAAATATGGCAGCTTTTTAGTGCTGATGCGAACCCGACGGGGCAGCTAAGCGGGAACGAAAGCAAAGAGATTTGTTGTGGCACTGTTCAAAATTGTCTCAAAAAGATTAAGCAAGATAACTTTAAACGCTTGGAACATGTCAAATGTAAAATGTACATTGCCGCGTATTTTGTCGTACACCTAGCTCCGTATATTTTTATACAGAAAATAATCGCAAATGGCAAATATATTGAAAACAATTGAATGTTTTGGTTGGTTTAACCCTTATAGGGAATTACGAAATTTGTGGTTTATACACATTTGTTGTTATACACTATTACACTACCATTACGTATTACACTACTATGGACCACTATACTATTGAACCACATTTATATTTGTTAATTTGCGCAGTTTATTAGATAATTATAATTTAAAGATGAAAACTTGAAAAAAAAATATTCTTGTGTCTATGAAATTTAGGCACACCAGAGAAATGGTATTTGTGGGATGAGGAGGCAAGTACAAGTTCGATAGAAAATAGGATAATAACATAATCTTATTTAAAGAGTAATTTGTTTTTTTTATTGCTACTCTATAGTTGTAATTCAAAAAGTTACATATGGAACGTCCGGTCCGTGTAATTTAAAAATGGCATACAGAGAAACTTCCATTCTTAGTGAAACACTTAAAAAGATGTCCCTGTACTCTGCCATTCCGCTCTGGTAGTTTTTTGAGTTTTGGTTAGTTGGTTAGTCGCTAATGACACGAAATACTTCTAAAAAGAACGAGGCTTCAGACCGGAAAGGATGGCATACTGTTTAACAAGAAAGGAAAACAATGGTAAACAAGCTATGAGTAGACAACCTCTGGTAGATATTTATCACCCCTATAATTTTCAAACACTTTTGGTCGCTATCAGTTGGTTAACCCGTATTTGTCAAATTAATTTTATAATAAATAATAATAGTAATTCCACTTTCATTTAAACCGGTATTATCAACATTGTCTAATAACTTACAATGTCACACGTTCTACCCCATCCGTAGTAAATTTCAGTAATTCAAGCAAACCGTAGTGTCGCACTTGTTACTTTGAAACTGTCAATCACTTCCAGCTGTTTTCGAAATTCTCTGGCAAACGGTGAAGATTTGCCAGCTGCAGTTTCAGACATAATATTCGTGCGTTATAGAATAAATCCCATCCCGAGGTTGGTTTCTTGTAAACCAATAGAACGCTGTGTCCCTATGTCGGGAGCATGCGCATTCGCACATTCAAAAATCGACGGGATAAAACTTAACGTTGGTTGAGTGTTCGGGCTTTTTGGAAATTTTGTCGCGGAAATAATACGTGATTGATTTTGAATCAACTGAAGAATCTGATACTATTTGTAGCAAGCAATACCTATTTCTAAACGGTTTTTAGTTAGTCAATACTAGTGGAATTATAATATTGAAAATTAACATCGCAAGATAACCTCGAAAAATTTACTTTTCTTGCAGGCAATTGGCACTAGTTCGGGGTCAGTTGTTAGCTGTGATCCCTACCGCTTTTGAGTGGGTCATTCATTCATGTCTGACGTTTCGCGCGGAAATAAATGACGACAAACGTGTGTAAAAAGCATAAATTTATTCGGCGCACATATTCAGAAACCGAAACGGGAAGTTCACAAATTTCGACATAACGAACAAATCGTCACACGGGGACGGTCCAAATCCAAAGTTTTCATCACGTATTAGTATTAGTTCTCCGCAAGTTTACACCGAAGCTGATGCTGCTCCTCTGTTCGCTGGTCGACGGTCGCGGTAGCAAAACTTGTCTTTGGGCGGCGTCAGCTGGCGAAGCCACCGAAATTATACCGGGTGGTGCCGGGGGTAATCCAGCTGCCGGCGATACGACGGCCACCCTCTGACCTAAGGGCAGTCCGGAAGGTCGTTTTTGCACATCGAACCCTAGGAAATCGCCCACGCTCGTCAACAACGTCTGGATAGTTCGCTTGTCTCTCGCAGCTTCGGCGAGAGAGTCCGCTTCGTAAAACTCGCTCTCGGATATCTCGTCGAAATTACTCTGGGCCAACGCTAACACGGATAGCACTAAAACACCGAAAACGTTGAGCGTTAACATTGTTGTGCATTATCGTTTCTTCCAGCGGGGCGAGACTGAAAGTGGCCCGCTCGGGGACCGTTTCAGCTTTTTGCTGACGGAAAAAGAAGTTTTTTTTTGTTTTGCAACATTTCAACGTTGATTGGACTCGCGACGAGCTGGTTCACGCGAGGCTGGTTTTCGGATCTGACTGAATTCATATATTTCATAAGATAAAGACCAGAGGAATGGAAAATTAGTTTAACCATTCTCGTTTTTCAATCTTTAAAAAAATCTCGTATCTTTATATTTGGTTTTGCAAAAAGGAGGTCAATCCGTCAACTATCCATTGTTATAGTACTATAGCTACTAAATATCATCTGCATATAATCTATTATCAGAGTAAACAGGTGAATTTACCATGAAAAAGTTGAGATGCGAGCACGTTCGCTCGTTTCCAATCTCGTTATCAATGAAACCTTACGACCTTCAACAATGAACATGACCTCCAACAGTTCAACAATTATCATATATCATATATCATAATATGGCAAGCCGATTAAATTTTCAGGAAAAAAAGAAACAAATGTAGAGCCATGCGTGGAAGATCTGTCTCTTTTATACGAAAATGTCATAGCATAATAAGACTTTCCTTAAATCACTTTCCATTTGGACGGTCTCTTTTCAATGTACAGGGGATCAAAGTTAACTTTTGATTAATATCTTAGTGAAATAAATATTGTATATTTTAAAAATTTCAGATCAGAATTTTTGAGAAAACAAAAGTTTTAGACAAACCATCAATATAACTACAAAAAAAACCTTTGAAATCATCCGAAAAAGTGCGCGGTCAAAGGGTAGCATTACTTCTAAAAGCTTTTAGTGTTTAGATAAGAATGTAAAATTTCAAAAAACATAATAAATATGCATTTGAAAATGTTAACATCGAAACTGTGTATTTTAAAAACAAAGCATGATGATTGTAAAGTGATTTTATGAGATCACCTGGTTTTTGGTATCTCCCTGTAGTATGATCTTGATATGAACACTTGAACTAGATAAATTAAATTCATATTTACTTAGAAACGAGAGAACCTAAAAATACTTACGGTTCTAGTGACTTTAAACAATAGAAGTAAAATACGGTTTAAAATTTTAATTACGTCTGTTCGAAAGGGGTTTAAAATTTAATTAAATGCGATCGATCAATTTTCACCCGTTAATAAAACTAAGGGTATTAAGCAATCCGGCTTGACTGTTTAAATCCGTGTTCCAAATGGCGTATTTTCAATTTTAAATTGAAACGCTTTAATATTGTTTAATAAGTTGTTTCTCAATTTGATCCTTTCATTGATGTGTAGAAACTTCAATGGGAGAATTCGAAATTACATATAGTTTTAATTTAAACAATTATTGCAGAGTGCACGGAATCAGCTCTACGGTCTACTTTTTACTTCTTTTATCAATTTGGGTTGCCGTATTCACTAAATGTATCCCTAAGTGTTCATTAATAAATCACATTTTCTAACTTGATCACGAGGAAAGAAAAGGGAGTGTTAACTGAAACCCTGATAATAGTTATAACTTTCAGAATAGAAAACAAGAACAAAAACAAAACATCTGCCCTATAATTTTATTAAATACAAGCACCGCCACCACACACAAAAAATAATAAGTAATAAATTAACTGCTTCATCTGACTTCAACTTCAACTCAATAATTAGTGGCAAATTAGCGCAAATCGACTCTGATGAACGCGTAAGTCGCTATTACGTCAAAAATTGTAAGAGAATATTGACAGTAACGCACCAATAAGCTTGCACCGATTCTAATTCCGTTAATATATAGCGTTGATTACACCAAATTCGGCAATTCGCTGGGTTCAATTTCGTAAAAATATTAGAAAAGCGACGCTGACTAATTTCAATGTTGCCAATGGGGTTAGTGTGACCTTTACAGTGTGACAAAATGTCGGATTTGCAATGTCGGCGCAAAATTTCAAATACATTGTATGCAACGCGCTAAGTGGGGAGTTGCAACGGGTGCAGAAGCGATAAAAAAAGGATACTAAAAAAACAAAAGATTTTCTCGTAGATCTTTTCTAAATCTTGAAGTAATTACAATAATACAGAGAATTTTAATTGTATAAATTTTTTTTTATTAATATATAACTTGCAAGAATAAATTTTAGTCTTTTTGTTTAGTAAATTATTTTATCCAATACTCCTCACTTGATCTAATTTTATTTGCTGTTTTTAATTTGTTGTAGCAGGAAAAAATAGTAATAATAGTTCTTTCTGGTACTTGTAGAATCTGCGATTTTAGTTATGCGTATCTGTACGTATTTTTTACAATTATATTAAATATAACCACTATGTCCCCGTGTCAAGTTGGTTTGTGTTGCTAACAGTTTGTCGCGTATATAATGGAACTTCCAAACGGAAGTGAAAATACGTAACATACGACCGTCGTTATTTTCTTTAACCTCCTCGGTATTGTTTAACAGTCTTTATTTATCCCTTCCGTAATCCTGTCTTGGCCTCGTGCCAGCGTCGCCTCGTCTACTTTAAAAACATTAAATTCACTTTCCGAAGACGAGAGTCCTGGCGTTGAAAATGTAAATTCTAACACTCCATCAGAAGGAGACGAAATTACACAGTATGTTTATTTATGGCCTCTCATTTCGTTGTTCTGGTGAGATAAAGGACTATTTAGAAGCATCTGGCTGGAAGTGGGCACATTGATTAAGCACGGGCCCACTGTTTCGCGGAGCAAAAATTCGAAATTAAAAGAGACGAAACCTGGATTAATCGAAACTACGTGCTACTGTAGTGAGGGTACCCTGTTGTTTGTCCTATGTCAATAAACTTTCGACTCTGAGTCTTTCTGTCTTTTTTTTATGTAATTATGTAGATGATATCATTTGAAGTTTTTAAAGTCTATTTCAGAAGAGTGTGGAGCAATGAAACCTCATATCAAAAGGACTAGGGTTTGGGCTGTTGTTATACATTCACCAACGAAGGCCAAGGTGAGCCAAAACCGTTCCGATGCGATACTCGTGAAAAAAAAAAGAAGTTTCAGCAAATAAACAGAAATTAAATTATAACAAATTGTAATATTCTTAATCATCTGAGGAACTGTCATCTATTGATGTTTTAATAAACCCCAATTAATCCCATCATGATATGGCGGCATAAGCAGCACACTTTTTTCTGCCATATCTTTCACGGCGTATTTATTTAATGTCATATTTTCCTCTTTATCATATTCTTCATTTTTAATATTTTTGATGTTTAATCGGTCGAAAATTTCTTGTTTCTCTAAAAGTGAAGTTGTAGTCTCCTCTCTGCGTTGTTAACAATGTACATAACCACTACTGAAGTACAGTTTTCTAGCTGTCAACGAAATAAACTATTATCCCGGTCAAGCTCACTAAAACTTAATCTAGACTTTGTGTTTCTTTTTTAAAACAAAATTGAACTTCATCAAAGTCTTTTACTGATCTGCAAGAACTGCTTTTATTGGTATTTGATTGAAAACAAGGATCAAAAATATTTTGATTGCACAAAGTTGACCTACGCCTACGGCCAGCAGCGAACTTGGGCAGAGTCTGAAAGAGCCTGTAGCACATGCATTTTCAATCGCTGTCAGAAAGATCATATTCTTCTTCATTTACAGTTTTTCTGCGCAGTTCGGTCGTAAATAACCCGGAAACCAAATTTACGCACTTCATCCTTTCCGTGGTGAGCGAGAAGCCGGAAAAAGACATAGAATCGGAAAACGCAATCGGATCCTTGCAGCTCTACGGGGATGCGATGACGAAGTTCAGCGACACTTGTCAAAACGCTGTCGTCGAAACAGACACTCAACCAAAATCCGAGATTCAGGTGAGTGCTAGTAACCCAAAGGTTGGTTTTGAAAAAACTATACACAAAGTTTGCGTTTCTTTGTTAATTGGTCGTCTTTAATAACTAATTTGTGTCAAAGCGGAATTTTGAACATGTAGAACTCGTCATTTGCTCTTGTGTAAACTCAATGCGAATAAATTTAATTTTTTCAACTTTCTATGACCAGAAAAACCAAAGGACGAACAACCATCTGAAGTGAAAAGCACCGTGCGTTCAATTTATCCTGATAACATTTTAACTGGCTGTAACTTTTTTGTTTTAGAGATATCAAGGTAAACAAAGAAACAAAATGTAGGGTTAGTAGCCAAGTTCTTTTCAAAGTCAGTAAAACAAAACACTATCAATTTTCTGACATATAAGCGTACTTTTTTTTAATGGAACACCCTGTATATTATATATGTGTTTAATAGAATATCTATAATTTCAAAGAGTGACCTGGTTGACATATTAGTAAACAACGTTGATGGTTGAATTATTGTCCAAGTCATTATTGTTAAAATCGTTTTTCGCGAATTTAGCTTGAAGTATACTTTCTGAATAATAAGAAGACTTGAACCAGAGCGCCGAGCTTCTTCAAAACAGATGTTTCCAAGGCTGGCAAAGTAATTTGCAGGAAACGGTAATGTATTAAATGCTAAAAAGGTATTCCATAATCATAATGTTTCAAATGAAGAAAACAAGGGAAACATATTAGGATTCTATGAAGCACATCCAGTTTCCTCTATTACTAGAGTATATGAAGAGACAGGTATTTCGCGGGGATCAATCCACTCAGTTTTGAAAGAATATAAATAATTAAATATCGTGAAACTCAAAAGCTAAGTGCAGAGCAATGTTAAAGGAGGATGCAGTTTTTCTTTGGATTTTTTAAATAAACATAATGAGAACAATATTTAAAAAAAAACATTTTATGGACTGATGAAAGTTCGTTCACTACAAGAAAAGGTTGTAATAGAGAAAATATGCGATATTGGTCTTTAAATAAGTATAGACAAATACACGACATAAAAACCCAGGGATACCAATCAATTAATGTATGGTGTGGTGTCATAGATGGGCATATTTTGGGTCCGATATTTATCAATCAAAAGTTAACTGGAGATCATTATTTGCAACTCTTAGAGCACCAAATAGAACAATATATAGAAGATTTACCCCTAAATAAATCGGCGCTGATTATATGGCAGCAAGACGGTGCCCCTCCTCGGAATGTTGTGCAAGTTAAATATTTTCTTAACATGGAATATCCCAGCGGTTTGATAGGAAACGGCGGAACTATGGATTGGTCAGCCAACAGCCCCGACTTAACTTTAATGGATTTTTTCTTTTGGGGACACATAAAAAATCATGTGCAGAGAACTCCTTGTAATAATGTCTAGGAACTTCGCAAAGAATTTCAGAGGCAATCAATCAGTTAAGAGACAATCCGGAAACGTTACTAAATGCCAGTCATCATTCAATAAGAATTGTGTTCAGGAAAATGGTGGTTAAAGAAATTTTTTCATTTAAAAAAATATGATGTGGGCGTATATGTTGGAAAATTGATAGTGTTTTGTTTTATACGTCACTCGGAAAAAAATTAACCCCAAATTTTGTTTGCGTTGATATCTCTAAAAACAAAAAAAAGTTACAGCCAATTAAAATATTATCAAGATAATGAACGCTAATCGTAAAACTTTCGCATAAAGACCTTCTCAAGCTATCACGGGACTCGCGACCAATAGGGGCTCGATTATTATCCACTTACCTATTAGGCACGTTGTTAGAAACATTAGCTCGAGATTTCACACTACCCACCACATAGTTTTAACAATAATGGCACTCAACACGATTCCTGTGTAGATTCTATGGCTCGCACCGCCGAAAGGCACAGGTTGTATCAAATTTCGCGCCACCGTGATCGAATCTGTGGACGTATGGTACAGCGAGGACGGCGATCTGACTAAGATCTTATGCGAGGAATCTCCAGACACGGAAGACACGCAGCCAAAAATATTAAAGCAGTGCTGTACTTGCGACGAAGCTAAATACGAGGTAAATAACAAAACACTTGCGCCGAAAAATACATTCGAAATGTTGCAGGTAACGTTCGAGGGTCTATGGTCGAGAAACACCCATCCAAAGGATTTTCCTTCGGACGGATGACTGACCCGATTTAGTGATATTATAGGAGCGTCTCACACGGTCAACTACTCGTTTTGGAGCTACGGGGACTTTGCCAGCGAAGGGTTGCAGCAACTCGCCGAATACGGAAATACTAGAATGTTGGAGAGTGAACTAAAAGCAAAGGTGAGCCATTAAATTTGTTTTCTCGTCAGAAACTGACTCGGTGAACATTCCTTGGAAGCTGGAGCTAGATTTTCTTTCTTCTTCTAATGTGTTTCATATTCAATACTGCCAATATTATTATATCAGGTCAATTGTACAAATGGAGCTCTCCGACAAACAAAATAGATGGCATGTTTTATTCTCTCACTTAAGTTGTGTAAAAAAACAATTTAGCTTCCAGCTTCTACATCTATTTAAACTTCTGGTTCTGTGCACACTTACTCGGCGTTGTGTGACGCATAGGATTTCATGCAAGATTAACATAGCGTTTTATGAGTTTAATATGTTGTTCAGTATGTTCGTCTCTTAAGCGCCTAGTTGACAAGTGAAAATATATGAAACTACATCGGGTCTCACTCTATTTGCAAAATTACTCTGTATTACTTTGTACTGGTACGCCCCGGTTTTTTTAAAAATTGTTTTAAATTGACAGCATAATCCCACTATAGTAGTTCATTAGATGATTCATTCCAATGGTCAATCGTTTTTCTGATTTTGTAGAGCGATCAAATACGAACCATCATCAAAGCCAGAGGTGTGAGTTATCCGAACATCACTGCGAAAACTTTCGCCGTGTTCCGAGTGGACAGTAGACACCATTTGATGTCCATAGTGTCCATGATCGACCCATCGCCCGATTGGATTGTCGGGGTGTCCGGTTTGGAGCTATGCCTGAGGAACTGCTCTTGGATAGAATCTAAAGTGCTCAACTTGTATCCCTGGGACGTCGGCACCGACGACGGCGTGACGTATTTGGTAAGCCAGCAGGAAAGATGAAATAGATGTCGGTTTGGTTGGGGAGAAAACGGAAACAGAAAATCAATTACGGTTTACCTGCATACAGAAACGATTTCGAATGGGGGGCGAAAGAAAATGGGAAAAACGTAACGATAGAACTGAGTTTGTATGTTGTTACGTGACGAAAATTATTTTTCTCTTGCGCAGGAAATAATGGGTTTTCGCCAAACCTAGCGTGAGTCGTATTTGAAAAACAACGCCTGGAAAAGAATACCATCCAATATTTTTGCAGCATTTATGTTTTATTATTAAGTAACGGATATTTATAATACACCTTCATTTTTATAACAGCTTTTGTAATGTTATAAAAAAAAACCATTGGTTTTCAAGTTTTTTAAGACGTTCGACTTCCGTAAAACCCTTATATATCTAAAAGCACCTAATCGACAACTCCAATAAAACCTCGACTCCCATGCACTTTAATTTCATATGTACCCAGTTGCCCAGTTGCATATGAATTCGACCAAGGCGATATATTAACACAATGTTGAATATCGGAAATAATTTTTACTTATTTAAAATAACTCTAACAAAAACAACTAAAATAATTTGATGCTATATACTATCAACCACTAATCAACATTATTTGCTATTATTTCAGTTACTACAATTTAATAAAATATATTTTAGGCATCGAAACCGAATATATGTATTAAGCGGGACATGGTAAAATAAAAAAAAATGATTGCCTCGTTTTAGCGTCTTAAGTCAGTTTGTTGCAAAAATGGTTCGCGGAAAGGTGCGAACGATATGCAAAATTCTATTGTTGCTGCCAAAATGGAGTTTCAGGGCACGATATTGCAAAAACTTAAACCATACCTTAAAGCACGGTGAGGAACATTACTACACTCTTCAAAAATGTTGGAAATATGCGGACAAAAAAGAGAACCGGCCGTCTTTCTAAGATCAAAGAAAGAAAAAAGCCTGCTCTTTGCTCAATTATCAAATAATATCGCAGAGCCGCATCAAACGAGATAGCTGTAAATGCATTTGCTAAACAAGTTTCAAAAGAAGTTGTAAGAGAAGTCGAACGATCACAAGAATATCACTTTGTTTGTGCGAACCTGGCTACGGCACCAATGGAACTCAGTTATTTGGAACGATTAATCTAAGTTTGACGTTTATGTGGGCGATTCCCAGAGTAGCGAATGCCAGGGGAAGAATATCGCCCAGACTGTCTCAAAAAAAAAGTTTTACATTTCCTGCATCTGTAATGGTGGTGTTGGACGTCTGTTTTTTATTGATTTCAACGTTTATGCTGCAAAATGCAAAGTTATTTTAGAAGAACAACACTATGCAAAAGAGTGTCGATGCCGTTTTAAAACAAAATTAATACGCGCCAAACTTTACGAAATATTTTTTTGTTCTTTTTTTATTATTTTTTTTTTATTATTTATTATGTTAATATATCTTCTTGGTTTTTGAATTGTTATAATAATTCATTAGGACATTTTCATAATAGCGTAAAAGTAGAAATCAATTGCTTTGCCAAAGACACGTATTAAAATATATTGTAAATAAATGATATAGAATAGGGTGTGGCGAAAATGAGGCGTTTTATTTGACATTTATAAACATTGTAGGTATGTTTTATGGTGCTAACGACATTGTAATACTTGCTGTCATAAAACTTCTTTATGATTTATAAAGGTAAGGACAATTAGTTACAAATAAGTAAGGAGCAAAAGTTTTATACGGTAAGAAAATTTTGAAACTTTACAAATGCTCCATTGAAGTGTTCGCGAACAATTAATATACGTTCTCGGTTTATAAAATAGGTCAAATGTCAATATGTGCTACTTAGTAGGTGACATCTTTCCATAAAAATAAGTTTTGAAGGTATTTAATGTAACTTATCTAGTCATCGAGAAGTTCAATACGTCAATCAAAGTCAATCTTCAATACGTTCTGACTGGAATACAATAACTAATCCAAAACCCTTTGACCTATCTATCTTCCAAGACATTAAATTTCAGGTTTTCGCGAGTTTTTTTTTAATTTTTATACTTCACATACTTATTATTACTAGGACATTGCCTTGTGCACACTGATGTCTGTCTTTCACAAGCCTTTTTATTGTAGTCACCAAACCAACCATCTCCGTTGCGCCAGCCTATAAAGAGACTAAAGACGGATTATCCAGACGACCCTAGATCTCCTTTCTACGATCCGACGGGTACGTCTATGAAACCATTCGCCAGATTAAGCCTGTCGCGTCAAAGGTTGTACGAGAAAGCGTGCGACGCGTCATCGAATGACGACGCTGAAGACGGCAACGCGAACTGCGAAACAACGGGTAAAATTGATAATCCTCCGGAATCCTCAGTCCTCAACCACACACTTTCGTTTTAGAGTGGTCCGAATGGTCTCCGTGTTCGGCGACGTGCGGAAGAGGGGTGAAGTACAAACAGAGAAGATACAAAAAGGAGGAGAGCAAATATATTTGTCATAAAAAACTAACGGAAAGAGCCAGCTGCGAAGCTGTTCAAAGATACTGTCCTCAGGTCCCTCAAAAGGAGGAGGACGATCCGCTGTGCGAATTAGGTTAGCCCGTATTTTTGTTAATGGCTGTCTAATATTGTGATGTGTAATATTTTCTGAGCTTTTTATTCTTTTTACTTTTGATGGGTAAAATGAATCCTGGAATGGCACTAACCTTAGAAGATACCGGTCACTAAGTTCCACGTTCACAGGTCCTTGGTCTCAGTGGTCGGGCTGTAGCGTGACTTGTGGTAAAGGAACCCAGACCAGGGATCGAAAGTTTAGAAACAGATACGCGGCCAAACACTGTCTAATCGGAAAAAAACGACCTCCAATTCTGCAACAAAATATGGAGTGTTGGACAGCACGCCAGTGTGATGACCCTCAGGATCGGGTTGACGTTGCAGACTGCCCCGAACGACCTTGGACAGACTGGTCACCATGTTCCGCGACCTGTGATAAAGGTTTCAAGGAAAGATACAAGTTGTCTTTTAGGTATACCGGCGAGCAAGCGGTATTCTGGCCCGTTAGTAAGCTAAAAGGTATAATCGATATTGCCCAAGTGGTTCCTCCTAAAAAAACCCCTGTTCGTTAGAATTGCATAGCGAAGAGGACTTTGATGAGAACGACGCGTGTACTAAGAAAATAAGGGAAACAGTGGAATGCTTCGAGAGGCCCTGCGAAAAGGAAAGTCGACCTTTAAGTGGTAAGTAGGTATATTAAGCAACATTAAGAATTCGTTTGTGTTTTTTATGATAATGTTTTAGTTTAAGTCCATTGAAAAGTTGTATTGTTAATAGAAATGAAAATAATAGGTCCGACACCACATCCACTTTTTCGTTTCAGCCGCCATCTGCAGCTTGCCGAGAGACTTTGGAGCGTGCAAAAGCAACATCGATCGGTGGTATTTCGACACGATGAAAGGTCGCTGCGAAATCTTCAGCTACAGCGGATGCGAGGGGAACCAAAACAACTTTAATACCCTCGAGCAATGCCAAACGTTATGCTCCAACTACCAGAGTACGTAAATACAACCCACTCTCTTTCGTAGACGTTGAAGCGATTTCTTGCAGGAGAGCTTATCGCTAACATCACCAAGCAAAGACAACTGGGCGTTTCGATTTCAGGAGTGATGTCTTACAATATGCACCAGAATGACGCAACTGCCGGTAAGAATTGCGGTAATAGATCTTGGTGCGGTGTAATTTAAAATTTCTTTTATTAAAGTAGGATTTGGTTTCAGTTACCACGCAGCCAGAGCATGAGCGCGTTTTCAGAGAACTCATGTTGGTCGAAAAAGTGGACTGCAAAATGTCAAAATGGGGCGACTGGACCAAATGCATACCGAGCGAGGGTAGTTGCGGACGCGGTCACCAAATGAGATATAGATACGTCAAGGTAAATATTGCAACCTACCTTTACGTGCTGGTTTTAGATAAATGAAGAATTATAATTAATTTTAATTGAAAATTGAAGCATTTATATTCTTTCCCATAGTTAAGACAACAAATTATAATTCAAACTGGTTTATATATTATATATTATTGTTGTTGCCTGTGTGTTCCTTTTTAAGATGAATTTCTAGGTCTATCCGATGAATGGCGGTCGACCCTGCTCCAAAAAGCTCATCAAAAAGAAGAGGTGCTTGACAAACTGCGACGACGAGTAGTTTCAACATGTAAAACGTCATCACGGAGATTCACATCACCACAATTTTTTCGACGTTTTTGAATAATCTTTTTGCTTTGTAATGATAAGTAATACATATCACAAAAATAAAACTTTGCTGGTATCTACAAATAGTCGTACAAAATGCTGAAATTCACTTTGAGGGAAAAGGAATTTTGTTTAGCGTTTCTCCTTCGAGGTTACTTTGTTATCGAAAACATATCCATTTTTTGATTCTACCTGTTATGCGGACAGCCAAAATTATCGAATTTAAGTAATGGACAATAAAAAACAAATTGTTAGCGTTTAGTAGAAGAGAATGTTTAGCGGAAGAAGTACCAATAGAATAATAAAGTTGTTATTAATTACACCTGTCTTTTTTGGTGCCCAAACCTTTTCAAAGAAATTTGAATTTCAAGGAAAGCAGGACGCGCACTGATGGAGCTCACTTTTCCCAAGAAAGGGACACCAACAGAAGTTAGACAAATTTTTCGAATTTTCCTGGTAAAATTGTTTGCATTTTTATAAGTTGGCCTTAAGAGTTCTTGAGGAAACGCAGCATCTCACTCCTGAGAAATTTGGATATTTTCTACGTGTTTCGGGGATGCAGGCTGTTTTACCCTTTTCTTAATACAATCTACATATGCTGATATGGTGTTCATAGTAGCCTAAATTATTATATTTAATTAAAATTAATAATACATAGATGGTAATAGTAAAGATTTTAAACAAGACAATAAAAAATGTAATTTTTCAAAAATTATGCGATCCTGCACTTACTATTAAACAGTTTATCCATGTCATGTTTGTGATTGACAAGTCTTATGTGAATTCTACGAGGGCCGTTCAAGAACTTATGAAAACAAGCAGTGAAGACACTATTATTTCAAACTATGTCTCAAGCATGAAATTAAAAAAATCCTCGATGTTTCATTCCTAACGTATTTGTGAGCAGATATATGTATCAATTATGCATATCGTTCGGTACAAACTCTGTATTTAACTTCGTTTAAGGATTAGATCTTAAATAAATAATCAAAAGCTCTTAAAGTACGTTATTGCCGATTATCATAAAACTATAGTTTATTTAATCATGCGCATAATAAATTATGAATGTAACATTTTTATAAAAAGTTAAATTCTCCTCGAATGTACATCAAAGTTCGACTAAGGATGGCATCGAATACTTCAAATACTTTTCAACCGGAACGCGATGGGCCGTTTTACAGAAGTATCACCCATTTTAAGGTCGCTTTTAATTGGCCACGAAGTGACGATCCGGTTATAAGGAGGCGCCATCAGATCTATGGCGCAACATTAAAAGTTATATCGCTTTTCAATTTTGTGGGAATTGTCATACACATGATCTTCAGCGTTAAAGGTACGGAAAAGAAAAGGAAAATCTATGATTTATATCAAACTTATTTTCACTATCCTGTCAAAAGTTTTGTCAAGTTGTACAGAATGTAGAAATTGCACCTAAGTAAATTTTTCTACTCCCTTTGCTAAAATATCCAAGTATACACCCATCGAGCATGTGGAAAGTGTCATTTTACGACCCCAGTTTCGTTACCTACGGCTGCGAATCACTTCGGACATTTTCGTTTTATTACCCACGGATTTGGAAGCAATGTTTTCGGAGATAAATCCCACGGTTTGTTACGAGCAGCTTCGTTAATTTCGGGTCCTTTAATCATGTCCTTTTGTCCTTTTGTCAGATCTGATGGTCACGTCACACGCCACTCTGTATATGCTATTCTAGCTGTTTTGCAAAAATGTACCAAAAAATGAATGGTCCTATGCAAAACTACTTCATAATAGACTTCCTATTAAATCGTTAATTATAATATCATTGACATTATCATGTAGGCTGTAGCTGAAATTTAAGTAACTATTCACTCTTAGGCTATTATCTTCATTCGGGTTTAAAGGCCGTCGTCGACTTCCTAACGTTTCGCTAGCACGAGTGGCGAGCTTCTTCAGAGGTCCTTCCATCTCCGATGTTGAGTCTACGTCCAACATCGGAGATGGAAGGACCTCTGAAGAAGCTCGCCACTCGTGCTAGCGAAACGTTAGGAAGTAATTCCAATCGACGACGGCCTTTAAACCCGAATGAAGATAATAGCTTATCAACGGGCCGCGAAAGCCTTAACTAATTTATTCACTCTTATTTTAGCTTCTTTTTTTGCAGCATAAGGAAATATAACAATTTTTATGTGTGTGTTTTCTTGTTTCTTAATTGCCAATTATTCTTATTAGTAAGTACATATTTTTATTGTTTCTCTAAACTTTGATTGCCAATAAAATACTCTGTAGATAAGAAAACAATTGTAGAGATTGAAGATAAGAGGCATTTTTCGTATTTCAGAACATCATTACGAACTTTTGATAGAGGGTTTGGCTTTGGGTAGTGGCTACTTGGGAGCCATGATATCCATGACGCTTTTTGTATCTACAGAACGGACGTGGTCAAACTTTTTAAGGTGAAATTTTTGGTTAACGAGTTATGTTGACTTTAAAATCTCGTCTGATGCTCCAATTTCTAGGAGACTTTTGGACTTCAAAAAGTTTGGCGTCCCGCCCACGTTGAACAAAATAGTTAAACGCTTCAATTTCCTTTCGAACGTTACTTACATTTACTCATATTGTGGAACAAGTCTTTATTGTTTCATTGAAATCACAGACACCGCCGAATGCGAAAGGGTTAATCGAGAAGAAGGGCGGACTGAAATTTGCGGTAAGATATTTTTCAGTTTTTTTTAAATACAATTTCCTTCACTAAGATAAGTAAGTATTGCCTTTACTATATTGATGAATATAAATTGATTGAGCCATAAAAATACTTTGAATAAAAAAAGGGCACAATAATTTCTCGAATAGTCCTAAGAATAGAGGAAATGTTATATAAAATTAAAAAGATAACAAATCAATTACACTATTTCCTCAACATTAGGAACAGTGGCGCCTATTTATTGGCCCTACGGACTCACATCCACCCAAAAAATAATAATCAATGTGATACAAGTCGTCGCGATAATGATGTACAGTCCACAATGCGGTATTTTCATATGTTTCCCGTCCGAGGCTATAGAAATATTGAACACCAGGGTGAAGCACGCTTCGCAACTCTTCTTGGAATTGTTCGACAATCCCGATGAGGACTTAGAACACTTGAAAAAACGGATGACTTTCTATATCGAATATCACATAGAATTGTTGAGGTGAGTTGCCAATTTACTCGTAAAGCGTATCCAAAACAGATTACAAAGATAAATAATATAATCATAACAACATCAGGGCTGGTTCAATCAAATAATGAAACCTTACAACCTTACACTTACACAATTAGGTTAAACTAACTAGTTAAAAATAAGAATTAATTCATAATATACGTAAAACTTGTTAATAAGTATCTTCAGAGAAGTTTAACATTTTTCCGTGAAGTGTTGATAATTATTCAGAATTTCTTGATATTTCCAGGCTGGTACCTCGGTTTACAAATCAATCAAGCTCTGCCTGTATACATATTTTGAACAGCAAATCACACATCTCTCACTTGTGAATACAATATTGGAGGGCGTCATTAATTCGTTGACCTAAACAGTTGAAAACAATATCGAGATTTTTATTTTCAGCTACCAACCCCTTCTTATCCTGCCAATCTCATAGTCTTCAATTTTTCTTCTCTTTCCTGATGCATAATCCACGATTATTACCATTTCCCCTATTTTTCAGTTCTTTATTTCATTCATTCTAGATACTCTTGGAAATTACCGAGTTTAGATATACTATCGTTTATTCTTTTCTCTTGTCGACTTTCTTTGGGAAATAATACCACCGGGTTTTAGTCTAGCTGAAGAGTTTAACAACGCGTTCAGTTCACTTCGGCCTTGCTCAGCTGGCGGAGCGCTGGTGATCGCCTTTATTTTGACTCAGCTGTTGAACACTTATAATTTGGGAGCGATCACCCACGTAGCCGGCTGGATAATCGGAATATTCCTGTTATGTCGAGCCGGCCAAATTCTTCAAGACTCGGTAAGAGATAGTAATTACATTACATCAACGTCTCCAAAGTACTGGCGAGTTAAACTAAATACATCCCAAGAACTGACATTAGGTTATATAAAACAATACTCACCTAAAAGGAAAAGCAAAAAAGGATTCACGAGCCCTATGTTACATCGCTAGCTGGGTTGATCAACCCCAGAAAATAAACCTAAATCTTTGAGAGTTTACTTTTTATAAGGTATTCACAGTATTCGTTCCAACGACACGATGACGCACGATCCGCCAATTCCAATTCCAATGATAAATAATAAAATCCGAACCTAAAATGCTGACGATACAGACAGTTTTCACTTTCAACCAAAAAGGTTTCGTAATACATTTAACCAAACCTTGGCTTTTTTAGTTAGGCGCTATTGGCGAAGCGGCGTATTTTTCGAAATGGTACGAACTGAATAACGCTTCAATCAAAAGAACTATCCAGTTGCTCATATTGAGAGGACAGAAACCCACTTATCTGGAGGCCATGCCGGTTGGCAATCACGACTTTGACTTTTTTGCCCGCGTAAGTACCCGAAAGAGCGGTCCGCTATTTAAAATATATAGTATGTATTAGGTTATAGTCTATTTCAGCAAGGTGTAGAGTGCTAGTTCCCAAAGTGCTCCATGTAAATCACATGGGGAGTGACAAAAAAATATTTTCACTTGCGTTCATAAAATTAGTTTGGTGTGCGAACTTATCTTCAAATTCATAACTAACCGGTCAACAATTTGGAGTCTGCTGTATGGGTGTTAAATGATAGCATCTCATCAAAACAGTGTTAATACATCCGAATTAATCTCTTCATGGTAATTTCACTTGAAAGGCTAGCGAACCTTAATTTAAAAATCACTTTTCATTTCGAATATGGACGATTATTGGTGTCTTCCACTTTACTGAAATCAAAATCAATCAATTTCATTGTTTTCCAGTAAAAGTACTTACGGTTATGCTGTTATCAGGCAAAATCCAAATTTCTTTAACTGATTCTTAAAAGTTTTCTACTTATCAGTGACCTTTTTATTAGCATCGAGTTCACAACGAAACTGGATGAAATTTCCAACACTGCAGTTTCCTGAAATAGCCTATAGCTTCAAAATTTCTCGTGATAAAGAAAATAATGAGTTTTGCGGTAAATTACACTCCCAACTGACAATGGGCAAATTTGGATTTCAAATATAATAATAATTCTTCACTCTTGCAGCTCTCGAAGACCTCGTACACATACCTCACGGTTATGAACCAAGCATAAGCGGCAGACTAGTGCGGATTAAAGAATATTATTTTATTTAAGGTTGTATCGCACGTTACTTATAATACGAATAAAAATACACTGTGCAGAAAAAAAAAGTATTTATTTAATATACCTGTCGTTGTTTACACGTGTTGTTACACGTGTTAAGGAAGTAAAATTGTCAATTAACTTTCTCTTCTTCGTATCGATGTTCATTATGATGGAAAATCATTGTCCGCAATGGTTTTGAACATTTTGTTTTGTTATTAGATCGATATATATCCTAACTGAAATCTTGTGTAAGTTGTAGAAGTAGCCGTATCCTTCGTGTTATCTCTTGCTTGTGAAAACTGACAGAATTGAAAAAATTTCTATATTGTATCCAAAAATTGCAATTGTTCTCCGATTGAACCAAAAGCATAATGAATAAACTTTGGCGCAGAAAATTTGCGACCGCACAGCGTCGTCATTTATTTCATAGTTAACCAAGTCGTTGTTTACTCCAAAATGTGGATGTAATTGACCAGTTATCGCGATTCTTCACGCATGGATTAACACAAATAGATTAAAGCGGACGTTGCAAAAAGGTTTTGTCGCATTCGTCTTCTGAAACATGTTGGACGCCGAAGTTCTTTAGAGTGCTATCGGGTATTTTCAGAATATCGACGCACCGGCAGAAACAATTTGCGACGCCGGTTGGTTGCACGCGCGCGGACTCTGAGCGACCAGATTTTGATATTGTGCGTAGTTTTGTGATATTATTTTAATTAGTATCATTTTTCGTTTACGTCTGTTAGGTGAGTGGGTTGTTCGCGTGATTTAATCGCGCCTTCACTGGTGTATAAAGGAAGCATCAAGGTAAACTTCAATCTCGAGAAGAAACTCTAAATACTACAGTAAAGGAAACAGTTTTTAAATTTTGGTTTGGGCCTGCTTGGCAAGCAAGTTTCTTATTTTATTTTTATACGAGTGAAAATCAGAGTTCACTACAAGTTTTTTTTTAATATACATTTAAGTGATGGTAATTGGCAACTGTAGACCCCATTTTTGATCTAAATATTTCTGACACAAAATAAACACCTAAATTCCTGATGAACTACGAAAAACAATGCAGGCACCTGAGATACAGAAGAAATCTTTTTTATCCAGGAAGCGATGACATCACTGTACCCTTTACTATAATTTTTTTCACGAGAACAATCCAGAAAGTTAAAATGAGTGCACCAAATTTTTATGGCATATTCTAGGTCGAAATAACCCCTTATTTTCCTACATAAACATAGCGCGTTGGCAAAAAGTACCGGAACGCTTAAATATCTCCAAAACTGCCAAAGCTGGAGTTGTCAGATTTACCAACTTTGCCCTATTTATTTGCTGCATGTCTAGTAACCCTTCATTGATACACTTCTAAAGTTTCCTATGTTCAGAAAGCTCCACACTTCTGCGATGTTATTTTTTTTAACAGTGGTAAATCTGACAACACTGCGGTTAGTGTTTTTTAATTCTGCATGTTTAAAAAATTCCAGGTAATGAATTTTAACATTTCCTTTTTTACAGTTTTGGAGATATTTAAGCATTCCTGTACTTTTTATTAAAAAGCGGTGTTGCCATAACCGCAGTAATTAATACAACCAAATTTTGATATTATGAGACCTTACTAAATTAAATTGGTGTCGAGCCGCGGTATCACATTAACTATCAATAGATCAGTGACAATGGAATTTGCCGTCAAAAATGGAATAATGAATTCCAGCATTCCATTAGAAACTGATAAAAAAGTCTTAAAAAAAATGGATTATTTATTGATCAAAAAGTCATATAGGTTACTCGTCTTGGCTATCTGGCAGGAAAATTGTTTTCTAGTAAAACATATCAGCCTCTATAGACATTTTGAAATTAATATATTTTATAAAATTATACTTATACAATTTTATACTTATACAATCTACTATCTCTTACGGGGCAATGTATTGGGATTCTGCAAAAATATTTATTCTATGAAAAAGCCATAATATCAATGGCCGGCCTAAGCAGCTCAGACTCTTACAATATATTGACCTTCCTTGAGTTTATATCTATTCTTTGATAATGTTCACAAAAATATCATTAAGAATGAATATATGTAATACCGGTAGGTAGCTAAGTATTAACCGGTAGTTTTCAAGATTACTCGTTGGACATCAAGATCCAAACGGAAAACCTTGAAAAAAACTATAATTCAGTGGATGAATTTCCTAAGGATGAAAATATAGAATAAAGAATAAAATTGGGTTTAATCTTCAAAATATATATTTCTTAATTTGTTTTTTAATTATTTTATCATTATTTTTTATGTCTGTCCTATATAACATTTTTTGTGTTAAGTTTAGAAAGGTAGTGAATTTTATCGCACTAACTAAGTTTAAGTGCGGACACGTACGAGTGACATAGACGCGCGGCCTCTGAAGATGCCAAGTGATATTGTGGCGAAACGTCAGGCGAATGATCCTACTCCAGGGTCAAACAACGAACGGATGAACACCCGGATTACCACCAATACACATAGTTCCATCCGTGAAGGACTAAAACAAAACACACACACACACACATATATATATATATATATATATATATATATATATATATATATATATATATATATATATATATATATATATATATATATATATATATATATATATATATATATATATATATATATATATATATATATATATATATATATATATATATATATATATATATATATATATATATATATATATATATTTAAATGTAGCAGTGATGTCCGATTCGCCATCGCATCAAAATTGTTTTTTTTTTACTTTAAAACGGTGCATCGTTCGGAAAAAAGTCAAGAGATGTTCCAAATTGAATGGGGATTTCAAAAATAATTCTTATTTTACGAAAAAGCACTGACGCACAAATTTTTCTCTTAAAAAATATTCAATTTAAATCTAGTACGTCATTATTAAATTTAAAAATATATATTTCACATCAAAAATTTTCTTTTTCTGCTTGAAAGCAGTGTACTAAATGTCAATTAAAAATCCAGAGTAGGAAAAGGAAGCATATAGGAAACTAGGGCGACGTAGAATAAGCCATAAAAAATTTGGTGCCTTAATCTTCACCCTGTATAACTATCAAGATTTTAATTTCATATGATCTTGGCGAAACGTCTGCAGGATTCCAATCGAAAGCAGGATTCCAGTCGGGGTTCAATGTGGTGTTTAGAGAACGAAATTCTTTCCTAGGACAACCTGATTGGAATTATTCCCATTCTCAATATGTTGCAATCATCTTCTGGGCCGGAAAGTATTTCAGGGTCAATACATGACTCCGAAACCCAATTGGAACCAGACCAAACGTTTGGATTGCTAACCAAAATGCAAAATCCATTAATTTTCTTGAACGCCGCGCTTACAAAATCTGTTAAACTTGACCTCCTATTTATAAAGTCGACATAAAGTTTCCGAAAATAACGGTTTCAAATATTGTTTTTACGACGGACCTTGAATTTGGTTTTGGACCACCCGATTTCGAAATCCAATCTCCAAAATCCGTTTCGATTTCAGGATGATTCCTTATACTTGGATCGCCGTTTTCGTGATATTTACGGCAACGCTGTCAGTAAACGCTTATAGGTGCGATACGGACCCGACAGATTTAATCCAAAGAGACCACAAGTTGACCGGAGGAAAATACTTACTGAAGATCGATGGGAATCCCGCGGAATACGTACCGAACGAACGATATCAGAGTAAGTCACGCGAAACAATCCAACACGTCGATACTAATACGATTTTGTTGTAGTCACCATAGCGCTAGACACATTCGCGTTTTCCAACATCACCAACAAGTTTAGAAAATTTATAATCGCGCTGGAATCACTGGCCAAGCCCGACGACGAAGACGTCTCCTATCAGACAGGACGGTTCGAACTTGGAGAGGATATGCTCTCGAAATTTAGCGAGACTTGCAAGGATACCGTTACGGAAGTGAACTTGCAACCAAAAAGAAAGGTAGAGACATTCAAAATTGTTCCCATTTTAAGTGTTACTCTTTGTCCAACTAATATTTCTTGCAACTTAAGATTTATTATAAGGTAACGGAGATTTATAAAGAGCTGATAACAAACTGTAACACTGTTTATAGTTTTATAAAAAGCCATTGATGTTACAAGTTTTGTGAGACCAACCAAAATACTTTAATTTTGAGGTATTTTTAAAAGATTTTATAGGGTTCTTAAAAACCTTAAAAATAAATAACACCTAATAAGTATTCTATAACTGCTAAAATCTTCACTCCCATGAGCTTGGACCGACCGTTAAAAACGGAAGTATTTTTTCAACTTCTTTCGTTGTTAAAGATATTTATAAAAAAAAATATGAAAAGTGAGTTATGATTGCAAAATTGATTTTTGGACAGGAATACCTTTTTGATAGCTTAGAATTTATTCTAAGTAATTGTTTAAGTAGTTAAATTGCAAAAAAAGTCATAACTCATAAAACTTTCAGATTTTTACCAAAATCACGTTTTAAACGGCTCAAAACGAGGACGCTTCAGTTATAGAAGGGCAAAAATGTGAATTTATTTAATACATTTTTGGTCAAAATTGACCTGTCGTAATAGTCGTAATAGTTATCGACAGAAAAATCGTGTTCTAGGTGGGTCACCCTGAATATTTCTGAACCATTGAAAATACCGCAACACCGCATTCTCAAAAATATAGCACACTTCATGTTTTGCTAGACTTCTATTTGCAATATAGTTTTGGTTAGTCTTTTTTTTCAGGAAGGCTATTTTTTGTTTAGTTTTTTTAGAGTCATTCGTTTTTATTTCTATTAATAACTATGAAACTGTTAAGCTAAAAAATATTGCTTTGGAAACTTTGTGGTAGAAACATATCAAACTTTTTTTTTCACGAAGACCAATCAGAAAAATTAAAATTATCTTCTCGAAAAGTGTAGTATTGAGAATATACAGTGTCACCACTAAAGTCCGCATCATATGGGAGAATTTTGTATTAATTAGTTTTAGCAAACAAATAAGGGCAAATGTTTAAAAGTTTTAAAATAAAAAAAAATATTTTTTATTAATTTGGATGCGCAAACTCTCCTCAGGATCAAATTTTGCTAAAACTGATTATGTTATCAATAAGACGTACTTGGATTCTTGTCGACTTGTAGGTGAGCTTATATTGGAAAGCGCCTCCACCAAAAAGTGGCTGCGTATCGATAAAAGCGACGGTTATCGAATCTAGGGAACGCTGGTTCGCGGAAGACGACTCTGCCGCGGACGGATTCCTCACGAAGACCCTCTGCGAAGACCTGAGCGACAATGAGGATACGTTTCCGGAAGTATTAAGTTTTTGCAGTGCCTGCGATGAGGCCAAATACGAGTTGGCGTTCCAGGGCAACTGGATTCGAAATACTCATCCCAAAGGTACGCTGTTAGTATGGCAATGGCATCCGTTATCAATAGAATTCCAGGATTCCCTGGAGATACGTGGGCGACGAAGTTTAGCGATTTAATTGGAGCTTCCCATAAAATGGACCACCAGTTCTGGAACGATTACCAAGCACCCAGCGATGGACTTAAAGAACTGGCTATAACTGAAAACACAAAGAAACTGGAACTGGAGCTAATGAGTGGGTATTCAATTATTAACTATCCAACGTTTGATACAGTGGCAATTTGTTGAAGGTAATATAGAAAACATACGAACAATTATAAAAGCCAGGGGACTGGAACACCCCAACATGCGTGGTTCGACATACGCCATTTTCAGGGTAGACAATGAGAATCACTTGGTGACTGTGGTTTCGAAAATGATCCCATCCCCAGACTGGGTAGTAGGTGCGTTTTGCAAGGGTTTGTTGTGATTACTTGTAATTTATCCACTGTAAAAGGTGAAGAGGAAACGTTGTTGAATAGAACCTAACCTAACATCAGAGAGAGTGTTAATTTAAAATCAGTGTATTTATTATTAATAAAGTTATTTTAGTTTAATACATCCGTGTGTTCGTAAATTCACAATAGGGTTGAGTTTCGCAAATGTAATGAAATGCTTTCCAGGTGTTTCCAATTTCGAGCTTTGCCAACCGGACGGGACATGGAAAAAATCAAGAACAGTTAATTTGTACCCTCGTGACGTTGGAACGGACGAAGGCGTTGAATACACTGAGAAAAAACCTTCTTCCGATCCAGAGATGGTCGTAAACCCGATAAGTTCATCGTTTCCAGATGATCCCAGATCACCGTTTTACGATGAATCGGGTGAAAAAATGCAACCTATAGCGAAGCTCCATTTCAAGTTGCAGAAAGTGTTCAGAAAGGAATGTGATCCGGAAAGGTATAATATGTTATTCTAACCAGTATCGGAATCTTCATAAATGGTGTCTCTATAATAGAATACAACCGGAAGAAGCAACTGAATCGAAAGACGTGTCCAATGAACATCCACTATTCTACAGACCCGCCACTTCCGGAACCTGTCAAATAGTAGGATGGAGTAATTGGTCAACCTGTAGTGCAACCTGTGGGAGAGGTCACATGACCAGAAGTATAAGGTTTAGGAATGAACCTGGGCCAAATGACTGCCCCCATATAGTTAAGGAAGAGACTGTTGAATGCGGAAGTAGCTGCCCCAACAGAGAAGATGAGGTGGGAGATTCACTTTTTTTTTTTTTGCTTAACGGAAATTACTTTTTGTTTCATATTTACAGCCCTTTTGCCCCAACGTAATATGGGGAGCTTGGTCTCCATGTAGTAAATCTTGCGGAACTGGTACTAAGACCCGGTTGAGGGTACCCAGTCAAGAAGAAGAAGATGAAGACAGATCTAGTAACAGACCATGTCCAAGCAAAGAAACAGTAGAATGTAATGAAGGAGAATGCAAAAATGAAATTTAGAATAATAAAATATTTTTATTAGGGATAACTAAGTCTTACATGTAAATTAACAAAATGCAATCGTGGAGAGATTCCTGGCTGTGATAGTCAATTGAAAATAAAACTATTAGAAATTCAATATTTTGTTTTCTTCTTTTGGTACAACTTATAATACAGACTGTATTTGGTGATTAAAAAAAATATTGCCACAGTTACTGATGTACCAAGGTATAGTCACAATTTAGCATCTTTTTTACCAGTATCCTCATTCCCAATCTCCTCTTTTGCTGGCAATACTTGTAATTTTATAGTGGAGCCAGACTGCTTCTTTTGTATTAAGTCACTGACAGATTTTAGACTGTGTTCAATATCTGAACATACTTGTTCCTGCAAACAATGTATATGTATGTAATATAAAATGGACAGATGGGTGTAACAAATCGCAACTTACAGCTTTTCTCATACTTCCTCCATCTCCATTAATGACAAGTCTAACTTCATATTTTTTAGCTAGCCATTTGGCAATTTTTGTGATGTGAACTTCTAGATCATGCTTGGAAATATTTTGACTGATATTCAAAAGTTTTTCACCTTTAGTGCCTTGTTGCTTGTTTGACTTCTTTTTCTCCCTTTGTTTAAGTTCTTCTTCGTAAACCTCTGTTCCGGACATTAGTTTATATACAGTTCGATTGGACTTAGTATCCACATCTAAAATTTTAACAAGTTTCAAGTCTCTTCGCCTCGCAATTTTTTGCGCTTCTTCCAAAGTGACCACGTCGATTGCGTCTCCATGTAAAAGCGTTATTTTTGGTATTATAGTGGTTTTTCTCTTTTTAACCTCGCCCGTCTCTGGATCTTTTTCCAACAGTATATTGCTGCTAGGTTTGTTTGAATAAAACTCTTGCTGCTGAAAATTGATTATGAAAGACGCAGATTTCTGGAACGGGTCTATATTATTTTTAAAATTTTGAAATTTTAATGTTTTGAATAAAAAACGCAACATGATTTCGACAAAAAATAAAGTTCATGTTCAGAAATAGGTTATAATAGCCACAGAATATATCGAAACCACAGATTATTACCCCTTGGCATTTTTATCTGCCTCGTAAATTTAACCAAAAAACTGTACATTAAAAAGAATTAGAAAAAAAATAGTGAAAGATAATAAACAACCATCTACTAAGTGTTATTTATTTTAACTTAGTACCTACAACCAACGAACACTATCTAATTTCAAAACGAAATCTGTCCGTGTTGAGTCAAGTCCGCACTAGATGACGCCACAAGGTACTTTAATAAATATCGGCATTAAAAACTCGATTTTGTTTAATTACTATATTGAACAAGTTAAAGGTAATATGATAATTTTCTAACCATCCCTATTAAGGATATTACACCACACAAAAAACACAAATTATCAATAATAATTTATAATTTCCAATTATTCCATAATCCGATTTAATTAATTAATCAATTACGACCAACTGTGTCGGGAGAACATTCCTACATTAATAAATTACACGCACTGAATAAATGAAATCGGTCGCGAGGAGCCGGTTTACCATTTTTTCAAATATCATGAGCAGAGTTCCTTTTATACGGGCGTTCTATGTCGTTCTGCTCTCACCATGCTAACAGATATAGATTAATTGCCGATTGCATGTGACATTAGGCTTCGGTGGAATACCGATGATATCTAGACTTTAGCGAAATATAATTTATTAATTAATTTAAACTCGTTTATTATTAAAAGCAAAAGTATAATTAGAAGAGAGAAATCACAGTCCCTTTTTTTAAAAAAAGTAGCGAGAATCATTTTGTGAGTACTGATGATGATCACTTAAGTGGTCGTACTATATGTATGTACTAGGATAAGAATTTTCATTATTATATTTTATCAGAGATGGGACATTTCCAATCTTACAAAAAATTCGACGCAAACAAAACAAAGTCACTTGTTACTCTTTGAAATTTGGAAGGAAGGTAGGGAAATATACAATATCTTAAATAAATAGATAAAAAAGATAAATAATAAATTGCAATGAATTGACAAAAACCAAAAATGTTATTTCCTGTGAAAAGTATATCGCCTGCATTTTTTTTGTAGCAATAACAACTTAAACAACTTTGAAAAAATTCGATTAGAAGCAACTTGTTCATTCTGGAACGACCCTGACTGGTCGCTGTTAATGAACAAGAACTTCAACTCCGCTAGGTAGGTAGGTACCTTAATTGGATAAAAATAAGTCGCCATATCAATATTCCAATCGGAAAAAGTATATAAATTGCAAGATACCGGTTAGTTTTCAACTAATATTCATAAAGAGCGGGCAGACGCAATCTCATCAATAAAATCGCCATATTTAATCGAAAATCACGTGACCACCGGCAGCACACAGTTGGAACATTTCATTCATTTTTCACCTAGTGAAGATCCTACCCGCATACGGTTTCGGATGTCCCCCTCCTCCCTTCTCTTCACCGAAAAAAAGTGAGTATAGAAAAGTTGTGTAAACAAGAAAAATTCTTCTCACATGCCGAGTGTAAACATGGCCGCCTCTCGAGACGAACATCAAAAGAAATAGCTTGCGCCTTATTTACTGTTAGCCGGTTAACATTTTAGGGGTTGACACCACTGTGCTAACAACATTATAAATATGGACGGCACATACGTTGCCACCAAATCTAAATAGAATCGGGGCAGGATTTATTTTTCGGAAACCATGCATTATCGCATTATCTAAAAATTCACTCGCTATTTTGCGTCAAAAAATTATTAAGGCCAAAGTGTCCCACTGAAAAAAATAATAAAAAAAAACAAAGTCAAATGCAATATATAATAATCAAAAAATCTTTCAGTGACACTTCCATTTCTTTTTGTGAAATTTATTAAATATTTCATAAAATAGTTTTCAATTACTGTAACTTGTACTGTACTTGTACTGTAACTTGATGTGTGTAGATGTTGTAAGTATATTAAAACAAATAAACCAATCAGAATCCGAATCTGAAACACCGCCATCCGAATTATCACAACAAAAAATTTACGATCAACCACCCCGACCGCATGAATGAAGGAAACCCAATGAATGGTCTCTCTGTTTTTTTTTTGTTCATGGCGATTTAGTTTAGGTGGTCTTCGTATCACGAGTGGGTATTAGGAACGAAATCTGCGAGTAGATTTCTATAATAGGAGCCTTAAACGAGATAAAATAGCCGTGGGATTGAGATTTCATCTCGCTTTTTGCCGTTCGTTTTGCGCATTGTACAGTAGGGAATTCTTTTGCCCAGACCTTTGGACAGGACGTACGTATGCGGGAGTATACACCGCCGAATTCAATGCTCCGTGGTTCCCGAATATAGTGTGTCCCCCGCCTGGCGTTTTCTCGGAAGTCACGGCTACTGTAGGAAGTTGTAAATAATGCCCTTTCATGAAAATTATTCTGCCGATTTCTGAGTATTTAATTATGCCCGCAAATATTTTTGCGCACATCTATGCTTGGGTGGTCTGCAATTTTTTGCCACCTTTACTTGATAAAAATTATATTAATGAAGATCCAGCGAATGGCAACCTTTTTTTTCTCACAAATTTTTTATTACCTATCAATTTCTATGACAAATCAATAATCGATCAAACAAACAAAATCTCGGTAAACGTTGACTTTAGTAGTTTTCTTCAGCTTCTTTTCGCCACAACATTTTCAAAAACCCGATCCATCAAGGTGAACTAGCTGGTTCTTGCATCAGCGAATATATAAATATAAATAAAAATAAATAACATAAACTTTTATCGGATTAGTTTTCAAAATCTGTTTCGGAAAATGTAAACATTTTTTTATACATTTTTAATACGTATTGGGCGACTCGTCAAAAATGTTTATATAAATAATCGAAGGTTGGCTACTACTAAAATCTTTTTCTGGTCTGTGCTATTCTTCGTAGAGAGCGAAGTTAAACGAGAACAATCTCTTAACCATGAGCATTGCCTCGGCCCAGTATCTCCTCCATACTTTAAATTTTGCCTTCCATGATGAGTATTAGGAACTCGTACCTTATGCCTCTGTATATGTGTCCCAGGAAACTTGTTTTCCGTCTTTTGATAATCAGAAGAATATCTCGGTCTACATTCATTTTTAATTGGTAATGTGCTGCGTCCATGATAGTTTGGATAGTCCAGAATTCAGCTCCATACAGGGTAAGGATTGAGTAAACAAAAGCTCCCACCAACCTGTATATTTAGCGACAGTCTGTTAGCAAAGGAATGCACATATTCGCATTTGAATTTCCAGGTTCTATTGCAATGTTGGAAACGTTTTATTCTGTATCTATCCTAGACGAAGCGATCTCTCCCCCTTTGATAATCGCGTTAACAAGATTTCAAAGCCCTCGTTAATTTTTAGCTAGTATATGTAGAGATTTCCAAATCAGAAAACAAAAAAAAATCATCAGTCTCAAAATTTCAGTGAATGAGAAGTATAATACTTCCTTTTAATTATATACTAATAATTTTTTGATTTTTTTACGCGTTTTTTACAAACCACCTCGATGACAACAAAACAAATGACAAATTTTATTAGTTGTTCATTTCATTCTTTTTATTGGATCTTTGCACCTTTTGTTATTTAAAATCAACCTCAAACCTGTTAAGGAAAACTGGATATTGAGTTCTGATAAACTAATTTCATTGTCAGACAAAGAATTTTAATATCTTATTTATTTATGAGCTATAGGACTCTAATTTCACCTACATATTTTTTTTACTTAGAATAAAGTCTATATTTTTACCCGTTCCTAGTATACCCGGTATCACACTTAGCTATTTGTAGTTTGGTGTCGTGTGCCATACGTTTACGTAAAATATTTAATCTTCCCATGAATATTAAACAAAGACTGCGAATCATATCCGTTTCGCGAGGAATGTGAATCGACTTTGGTCAGTGCTCTTAAACGTTTGAAAGACACTAAAAATGTTTTAGCAAGTTTGAACACTGTCTGATTGATTGATTGATCCAACATTTTCTTGTATCTGGTCTATAATAAATTCACCTGGAAAAAAGTCTTGTTAATAACTTAGTATTAATAGTCTTTTTATTCTCCCTTTTCTCTCTAACCTGATCTACTTGTTGCTGAAGATCATTTTTTGTTTTATTTGGTAATTTGCTATAAAATTTTGTAGCTATTTGAGTTTCGCCCGTTGATAAATGAATCTGATATTAAAATTAAAGTTGTACCAGAACTTTTTTGTGAACATTTGTTTGGCGCTTAAATGAGCAAAGCTATTAAGAGAAAATGTTGGAAATTATTTGCAAATATAAATTTGAGATAATCGCATATGTTTGTAGAATGCCAAAACAAAAGCGGGGTTAAAAATTAGTTGTCAGTAGTAGATAGCTTAGCAAAACAGGATTTAATCTTTTTGAATTGATTAATAGATTAATTTAAATTCTATTTTGCTAAACATTGTCCGTTTCAGTTTGTTAGTGGTATTGCAGAGATGCCTGTGACTGTTCTGTCCACCCGACGCCAAAGTTTGTTGTTGTGCTTGCATGTGTGTGTATATCGTAAAAGAGAAAACGAGAAACCTCAGTTACCCGGTGCCAGTCGGCTCAATTAATACAACTTGAAACCTCATATATGGTCTTTTGGGTTTTTTGCTATTATTGGTCGTATAGTTACCGACCAAACGTGATACTATGCGGCAAACTCGTGGAAAAATAAACAATGCGAAGGACCGCCCTGCGTGATGACCGGTCGATGGGAGAGAGAGAAGCGAGTCTTCGAAAGGCCTACCGACACTTTTGACATTGGATACTTTACGCTGAAGCATATTCGAGAAACGTTTTTGGTAAATTAAATTTGCCCGTTAGTGCGAGGAAACGCACAATCGACGTGAGTTTAGATTGACAAACTAATGTAAGAGAACCACAATTATTTCTAACCAACAAACAAAATAATAAATTAAGCAAATACATATAACAAATGCGAAAGCATAGCAAATTGTAAAGTGTAATATAATATTATGTGCCTGTGTATTAGATAGATAGATAGATTCATTTATTGACTACGTTTCGTACAAAAGG